GGGGCAGTACCACGATGCTCAATACAGATTCACGCCAATGGGCAACTTTTTTGAGACATTCCACCGATCGAGTTATTATTTAATGTGTTTGGTACATACAGTAATATTCATTCATTTACATCCCGAAATATTGACTGCATAATGTCATTACATTCATTGTATGCGCAAGCGGCCCTTATGGTGTTTAAAACTTGGGAATATTCTCATGTAACTGAGACAACGACACAAAGACGTAGGGGGAAGGCGTCCTCGTAGCTTGAATAGGATTGGTAGTGTCCTCTGAATAGAAGGTTAATGTGTCTACAGGTCAAAGTCAGGCGCTGCGGGAATCCCTGGATATGTACGCATGTTTTGGTCGTGTCTTTGGCTAACGCTCCACAATCTGTGATTTTCATTTGAGCCTCTATGGTGTGGAGGTATAAGAACTTAGGCCATGGGGTGGGGTCTCGCTAATACGACCATCCGATTGGGACCGATGAAGTCGGTGATCTGAAACCCTGATTGATATTGCAAAGAGAAGGTAAGTTGGTTATGTCAATTGCTCTCTCTCAGGTAAAATCCACGTCACGGTAAGTTGAGAAATTCGGCTCCATTTTGATCCTCTGTTGACTATTCGTGATTTCATTGCGACATTAGCAAAACACTGTATCGAACAGTTTGATTTCGATTACTTTTCCCTCGGGCTAATACAGTTAAACATAGGGTTAAAAACTTTTAAACTAAAGTAATGCTCTGATGTGATGGATATGATTTTTTGATTGTGGTTTTGTGATATGCGGTTTAGAAATGAAAGGGCAGAGTTTTGTTGTTGTTGTTGTGTGGTTCGGAAATGCTCATAATCGATGGATTGAATGACCTGTTCCATTTCCCGTCTGCATCGCTGGGTTTGGTTGAGTACGGACAAAGGGAAAACGATTACAAATGCAGTGATAGAAAACCTTGCAGACACGAGTCATCAAGCAAACGATCTACAAAGTACCAGCAAACCCATCCAAAGCTGTTCGTCGCCGGTACCTTGCTACAGCAGAGGCGGTGGCTATTCACCTACTCAATCCATCCCTTTGTTCTCAGAAGCGATTCGTCAAGTCGATTCGCTTACCCTGGCCTCAACCTGATACAGCCGACCGAAATGACCGTGAACTTTGGTATGGCCTGGGGAAGCAGACAGGAAATAGAACAGTCCCATCGACCGTGAACATTTCCAATCCACACAATAACAACAACAAAACTCTACCCTTTCATTTCCAAACCACACACCAAAAATCACAATTTTCAACTTCTATTTTTTATGGGCATCTATATCACCTTTCAAACCCAATTGAGAGTCGTCAACCTGAGGCCTCTTGCTAATCCATTGGAGGCTAGCAAAAGAGCGCTCGTTTGTCGATAACATTCATTTTTTTGTCGCGGCGTTTCTTTAACCGGTTGCTATCGATTAGTTTGCCTCACCGAGTCAATCGGCCTCTCTCTCGGTCTGTCTCTCATACAGTATGGCCGAATGCTTCAAAAATACAGATTCTCTTGTGTATCTTCTTTCTTGATTTCTTCAGATGTTCCTTTAGTATTTTGGGTTACCAATGGACACTGATAGTATATCCTGGTGACGATTGCATGAATCTCACTTCTGTGCACTTTGCCATTTGCCACCGGGGTTCCATTAACTTGCACAACGAGTTGAAATGGTGGAACAAATAGCGAGGAGTGATGCTGGAAAACCTGATTATGTGCAAAAATATTGCTACCAACGCGGGGAATGATGGCATGAGACTGAGTCATTGAAATGGGCTGCATTCCATGTATAAGACACGCGTCTTTTCTTCTCAACTGGATACCGACCGTGCAGCGGAGAAGGCGAATAATAATAATCAACTACTCATTGATGATGAACTTACCTCCGATCGGGTTATAATGAGACGCATCAGAGCGTAGTCTTTCGTTCCGAGACCGTGCATTGTGTCATGCAACCATTCTGCAATCAATTTGGGCCGGTCAATTGCATAACGCACTGTGAATGAAGGATGAGGCACCGGGAATTGATAATAAGTGATCATTAACGCTCCGTTTAAATAACTTCGACTAGAAAATGTGTAAAAACATCAATGCAGGAAAATGTTTGCGTTTGAAAGGTCAGCTGCGGTTGACGGGTCATTCTGACGGGGCTGTCAATCAATTGGGATGTGATTGAAAACCTCGCTCGCTGTTAGAAACCCGGGTGTTTTGTGGTACTCGTGCAGCTCCCAATCAGACTAATACCATACGGTTACTGTTCCCATTCGTATATCATAATTTACCACCCGATTTAAATAGCTAAGTTTGCTGGCAAGTCCGGTACGCACTAAGAGCTAGATCTTTAGGGTGACGAAAAAACATTAATTTCATTGCCTAATAGTACCGCTGTTGTCGAGGCAACCGAGTGTGACTAGATATTGCACAGATGCACAGAAAGCACGAATTCAAGATGAGTGTTGAAATGAGAACAAAGATTGTCACATTGTTTGCCACCAGTATGAAGACGACTTGTTCTCTCACATTCAATTAAGTGTCGCATCGCCAGTAGGAAAAGATTAAATGTTGTTGGAATTACAGCAACACAGATAAGTTCCTATCGCGTAGCAAACACTCAGGTTTAGAATGTTTCCAACCAAGTCATAATCCTGGAGGATACTACTGAAATGAACGATGATGCCCGCAACAAGCTCGCAGGGATGGGCTGTGCTTTATTGTATATAGGCTAAATTAGAAACGATCTGATCAGCTGCCCAGCGACTGAGTGAGAAGTATGCTTGTGTTATACCTGTGAGGTTCCTGGTTCGATCCCCAGTTGTTAGGTCAACAAATTCAAGCACTACCGATGAAGCCCAACCAGGTCGAAACAGCTGTCCACCGCTTCCCGGCTTTTCAGCTCACGCTTCGTTTGTTCCGTGCACGACAAAATTCACTGTATAAATAAGTTCAGTAACCACGATAGATAGAACCAAAAATTTGATAAATTTCGTGGTTTGGCATTCGAGCTGAGGACTGATATCAAGGACTGGAACCGTCCGAAACTAGTAGATTGATTTTTCTTAAGCATAGAAGGATTTTTCAATTTCACAGAGTTATAATAAGTATCAAGAAGGAAACGAAGTTTTGTTGCGACCTTATTCATCTCGATAAATTTGATTTGTGATCGCATGTTGTGTGAGAACTAGCAACTGAAAATGAGTTTACTTACATACTGCCAGAATCAGTCGTCGGTAGTCACCGGACAACTCAGAGGTCATGTCTTCAATCAGCGACTTTCCGAATAACTAAAATATGAAATGTAGAAATGCGTCCAGGATAAAGTGATGACGCAATGAAAGTGCTTGATTTCCTCGATGGTAGAAAATAGTGGAAAAAGAGCTGTATTGGAACAAACGAGACCGCGTAGCCATGACGCATAAATCTTGCCCACAGTGTGGCATACCCTCGTGAATCAGAGCTGACCACAAGTGGTTATGGTGTGAATAACAACCGAGCGATATCATAGAGACAACTTAAGGTCGATCATGGGAAGGATATTGAGGGATTGTTTAACAGTCAAACAATGATCAGGCAAGTCTGAAAACAAAAAACAGGATGCGTATTTTGTATTCAAAATGTGTGGAAAAGGGGAAGAAAAAGGGGGTTATCGGTACCTGATTAAGGGGTGGGAGCAGCAAATCGTCGAGTGTAGTCGGGTCTGGGTCTGGTGGTGGTGGTGTGTGTGTGTGTGAATCAGAATCAGCTGCGGCACATAGAAGTGGCCAGTGCATGGGTCAGAGGCTTCAACCGATTGGTGATTATGGTCCTGCTAATCTTTTGATTTCGGGGTTCTGTGATTCTATGAAAACCTTGGATTTTTCGATATGGTTCCGTGTGTACCAAATGACATGACACTGTACTGTCCGCAGTCATTCCGCCTCGATTATCCCGGTCCACGATGGACGTTAAGTCTTTCAAAAGGACTACAGTGAATGTACTGGAGCAGCCTTTTTTGGTTTGAGCGCCTGTCCCACTAGACCTTTAGGTTCATGGTTGTTTAGAAGCCCTACCCCCACAGAGTGCCTACTGACAGAAGTGTGTCCTATCTACGCCCTGAGAGCGTTGGTGATTAACAGGGATTGTGTGCCGCTTTCTGTGACGGACTTCGTAGCTCGGAGTCAACCTCCTGCAAGTGTGTTTCAAGTGAATATTGACCTGGATTTGGTCCTTTATATTACAGTGCTGTGATCCTCAGGTACATTAACAGTGGTTGATACAATTGGAGATGGTTGAAACACCTGGTCTGTTCGGCTTCGACCAGGTTTAGTGAGCAAAAAGAACAACTAATTCGGCAGCGAAAAAGGTTACGAACGTGGTTCCTAACCAACTTTTCTGAGCATTACGCCACGTTAAAAGGGGAAATAGTTGAAGACAGTCTTCTTCGAGATTGATCGGGGAACAGACTTTAGAGTGAAATACGTACGTGACGCACCTCGTTTCCTCTTTTAAGATTTGTGTTAATGATGTGATACATATTTCTGGTTCTCTAATAATCTTTCCTTGGTAGGTTATCACGAGCACGCAAAGTAAGGATCAACAGCAGTTCTGTTCCGGTAGTCTACGGGTTTCGTCCAAATAGATAAAGAGGAAACGATGTTTCTGAAAGCGATGATAGTTGGAATCGCAAAGTCCACCTAGTGATTAAAAATTTGATACAATTCATTTATTGACAAAAGGGCGTAATCACGAATACCGGGATCCATAACATGAGTTTAGTGAGCATATATTTTAACTGTTCCGGGCATTCCGATTGAAAGCAGCAGAGAGCCGTGAATTGACCCAATCTGATTTTGTCAATAAATAACATGAGCCGACATGGTTTTGGATTCTTATTTTTTTCCAGATTTCTTTCATTAATCCATTATCGCAAAATGGTTGTTTCAAAATATCAGTTAAAGGTATTGAGCTGAGGGCATTATACTCTTAGGTTAATGAATCTGAAAGAGATAACCAATTAACTGCATTGTTATCCTTCAATTTCATGGAAGATGTATTGACTGTTTGTGCATATTAGTTAGGGCTTTGTTTCGCTTGGATTTCAATTTCAATTTCGAAAGAAAAAAGACACTTTATATGAGGAGCAGCTTGATGAAGAACCTCATCAAATCAATGAAATTGGACCGGCAAAACAAAAACAAATTAGGCAAAACATTCAGTCAGCCAGTCAATCTGATCAATAAATTAATCAACCGTGTCACGGGACAGCCATTCAATGTTCCCACTTGCAACACTTACTCGGGTGTACGCCTCGTTCGCTGCTCTCAGTTGGAATGGAGTGCGACCACAGATAACACGGGTGATGCGTTTCTCATTCGTTCCGACTCGGCTAATTGTATCGAAATAAAATGATGACGCAGAGAGTAAATGAAGAAATGGGACACCTAAGAATTCGAGATGAAACATGTATCCTATAGTGAGCCAAATATGGAGAAAAAACCAATAGGCTCGACACTTTTTTCGGTACCGTTTTTAACTCTGAAATGTTTCTCTGATTGGTTTCGTACTTTCATTTGTATCTTATCGCAAAGCGTGAAATGCTGATCTATTTTATCGACATTCATGATAACATCACAAGTGGTTTTTTATGAAACACGGTATTCTACTAATAGTGCTGGAATCAATTGTCGTACAGCAGTTAACCAAAGTCTCATCTAAATTAACACATCATCCTTTTGGCGAAACACATTGATTAAGACCAATAAACTAGAGAAATTACATACGTACGAATTTCTGCGTATGAATTTCATGGGAAAGATTTCGTCAAGCTGTAAGAGTTACCTGGTTTTTTGATATTACGATTCGTAGATGTCCTTCATAAGCATCAAAGCCGTACAATTACAATAAATATTGAAAGAAACTGGTAATGGTAATATATACTATTAGGTCATAATCATCAGTCGATTACTCAGGGAACCATTTATCATCAGACTAACAGATGTAGAATTTGCATCCGAGGAATCCCCAGTTAGTTCGATGGATTCTGGATGCTGATGAAACCCAACAAGGTTGAAACAGCCTCCCAGCTCTTTTCAGTTCATATTTCTTTTGGTTTGTATAAGACAAAATTCCTCAGATTACTGAGTTAAATACTCTACCCTCCTCTATTGCTAACAGCACTATGATAAAGAGCCTAANTGCTAACAGCACTATGATAAAGAGCCTAAACACCTCATCCTCAATCTTATTTCTCAAGTTCGAGCTTTCATTTTCACTACCACTGTGTGACTGAAACTCATTTGAATATATATTCCTAAACCACCACGAACTCAACAACACCGATTTATCATAGCGGTGATAGAAATCACCATGACAGAGGCTTCAAGGTCCCGCGTTCGAATTCTGTCATCACCACTTATCTGCTCCATTGATATTCCACGGCGGCCTTACCAAAATTGACAATAGAATTATCTTTTCAATAAATAAAAAGGAAGTGAAAAGTTTATTCATTTTTACTGCACATTGTGATTTATACAAATGGGGTTGGACATTCCACGCAACGAAATATTCACCAATTGGTAATCCGTAAATTGAAGTAAAGCTACCTATCCCTTTGGAGAGCGGTGTTTGAACCTCGACACCTAGGTACTGTCATTAATATGGGTAGTTACTAAACCATACGCGATCGATTCAGAAAGACCGTGAAAAAATCACTTACGAGGCTCCGGCAGCTAACAGTTCCTTGGCATCCGCCTCAGCTAGCTCATTGTTAGTCACGCTTTCTACACCCTTGTCTTTCACAGCCTTGAGTTGGATCATGGGAATATCATCTCGTTGACCATCGACTAAGCACATCAAAGCGTATTGGAAATCTCCGCTTGTATCTTTCGTGATATCAGACTTTNGGTCGAGATCACGGTTGCGAGGGGAGCAGCGAGAGAGAGCGAGGAGGGATGTGAGGGGTAACGGGAGGGGAGAATGAACATCAAATCGTTACATGATCGGCTAGAGACAAACGCATGTGTTACGATTCGCAGTATCGAAACTCAGCTTGATCCTAATATTTAATATCCAGAAGCAACATTATTCCATTGTGTGTATCAAGAAGCATGACTGCATGCAAGTGGAAGAACCGAGAGTAAAATAAACGTCTTCTCTGGGGTGGGTGTGAGGTAAAGTGAACTGTTGTACGGGGCATTGAATCCTTGTAACAGGCAACTCTAACATGAGGTGTTTTGCGATTGATGACCTCGAGTTACGATTGACCGCCTGATTACTGGTTGTGGGTTGCGTCAACGACTTCACCAACCACTTTGGAATGTGTTCGGCCATCCACTGTGATAACTGACGGTTGGTTCTGCGTATGCATGCGTCACCGCAACTGCAGGTCAACTGGTATACAGTGTGTGAGACAAAACTGGATTGCCAACCATGTACACGTTTGTCCTAATCGATTCCACGAGTAGAGGCAATAAGTCGAAGTTGAGCAGCGAGGAATGTGCGGTCCAGTGCAGACTTTATTGCAAAACACTTCATGACAACAAAACACAATTGATCCCGCTTCTTCTTACAAACTGTAACATGGCTCTAATATGGGGTTGGGTGTAACATACTAGTGTCACTACCGACTTGACATGATTTGAAGCAAACTGAGTCGCTTTGCGATTTCCTTCATTTGGGAAGATAAAACGACTGCAGAGATTTAATAAAATTTCTGATGGATAGGGAATAAATTAAACGAAAGCCATTCAAATGAGACAAAATATTCGGAAAAAAGGGGTTGCAGTTACAGGAAAAGATGCGGACTGAAGAGCATTCTGTACGAAAGATTCCAATGATGGATGGTTGTTTTGATAGATTGTTAACTGACAGTCACTGAGAAATATGCCATAATGTAGACAGCTATCAGAATTTTCTTCTATACAGCCTGATCTCGACCAGGCGATACAGGCGATACGAAAATATTGATCAGGACACTTGTTCGAAGAGGATATGTTAGGCGATAACAAACAAAGACGAGACAATTAGTCTCTGTGTGTCTCGAATTCCGGACTTGTGATGGGGGCACAAATATGTGTCAGAAGTGGGTTCTCTGCCGTATACTATATGCGTCGATCAGAATTTATCTTTAAACTTCATTAACATTGCTTAATTCAATTTATCCCCGTATATATTTTAGAGACTTTTGAATATAGACGCTCTATTTTTAATTCAGATTGGATATTTTGTTTTTGAACAAAATTCGATGCATCACCATTGTCTGTGGTCAGTTTGTCCTGTAGACTGCTTAGATCACATCGCTTAAAGGCAGATTAAACAATGAGACAATTGAAACAAGCCCTTCCCTAGATTAATTTCAAAAGAATAGACCATATTCATACTGCACAACCAACGTGTCTTTCTCTTTTCAAGGGAATGAGTACAGGCAAATCGATGGTGTCGCTATGGGCAGCCCGCTAGGCCCAATCCTGGCAGACTTGTTCACGACACATCTGGAAGAAAAAGAAACTAATGCTCTGGGACGCGCTATCCTGTACAAAAGATAGGTTGATGACACCCTGATTATAACAGAAAGCTAAGAAGCTGCGAAAATTATGAATGAACTCAACAGACTACATCCAAATTTACACTTCACAATGGAATATGAATCCAACAACACAGTCAATTTCCTTGACATTAGTATGACCAAAAGAGAAGATAGAACGATTGCTTGATCCGTCTATCTAAAGGAAACGTGGAAAAGCCAATATTTCAACGTCGAGAGCTTTATTCCCCTGGAGTATAAACCTGGTCTTGTTCGGACTTTATCTGACAGAACGAGGCGACTCTGCAGCGAAGACAGAACTGAACAAGAACTGCAAAACCTCCGGGAGTTTTTAGCAAAAAACGCTTACCCCGAAGCGCTTGTTAATCAGCTTAGCAAACCGAAAATTGCGAAAGAACCGATTGCGTCAGTTCCCAAATTGCGGGTCACATTGCACCTTCAATTCAAAGGTGATGACGTAAGCCGCCTGCTCTACAAACTACTGAGGTCAGCAATCGCTCGAACCTACTACGCGGCCGACCTCCAAATTGTCCACCGAACAACAAGGATATCCACACCCCCGGCAAAAGAAGGTCTGCCTCTGTACGCCAACTCTAATCTAATCTACCAATTCCAATGTGGTCGCGGAGCAGCCTACGTGGGCTGAACAGAGCGACAATTACGCAATCGGATGGTGCAACATATTCCGAATTGGGTCCAAAATCAGCTGACCCGATTGGGGTCAAGTCCGCTGCATGGAAACGACGGTCGAAACTACAAGACCCCGACCTCAGCAATTGCTGGACATCTGCTGATGACGCAACGCCAGGTAGACCGAGGCACAGTGTTTCGAATTGTCTACAAGTCACAAGACGCAAGGTTGCTAAGGTTTGCTGAAGCGATTGCGATTAATCGATGGAAGCCCCCCCTCTGTGTCAGCAAAAAGAACTTTATATTAGTCTCTCCCTACCCTGGTGGTATGGTTCTTTTACCCCTCTCTCTTTTATGTTTTGTGTTTTTAATGCATTTTGCTTTACTTTGTTGCTATGCTAAAGCCCTATATAAACACTGCGGTGTGCACTATGTTGAGATGCAGCGAAATCGTCTGGGACATAAATCGTGCAGTATTGCAATGAGACAATTGCTCCTGAGCGTTGACGGGTGACATCACGCACTCACACAGTGCGGTGAGATTAGACATTATTTGAAAACAATTAGAGTGGGAACTGATTCAAAGCATAAATGCCAGTTTTGTCAGTTTTATATGAGGAAGGAGAGAAAGCCCTTCACAATAAACAAAATGAGAAAACTGGCACAGACGTAAAAATGTCGTAATTGGTACTTGCAATAGTAGAGTACAATTCGACATTTTTAGTCACTTCATACTTTCACCGCTGTTCGTTTTAAAATCATGGCACACGGTCTGCTCAACATTCCCTCCAACGATTGTAATCAAGCGACATACACACGCACACACACACACACACACACACTTTATTGAACAATCTCGGATTAATTCATGAGTACGCTCGTAAAATTGCGTATATGACAATCGGATCACATGTGTATGACAAGCTTTAGAGAAAGTCGAATGAACCATAAAAAATGTCCGTTGTTTTAGAAAACAAGATCCAGATACTGGACAATCGATCGTGTTAAGCGCTCAAGTTACAGCGTTTATCGATCTACGTTCGAATGGAGGACGCGTACAATGAATCCGCAACTGAATCACCCCCGAATTAGTACTGAACTCGGCATCAATTTGCGCCACGTTCTTATTGAATACCATACATCGTTTTTTCACCTAGCTGTTTTATGACTTGATTTGTGTATCGCAATTGAATGCTTAAGATAGTGCTTGATGTAGCGCACCACAATGTCAAAAAAGGCTTTATCGAAATCCTTCACAGTCAGAACGGTATTACCGAGTTCAATACAATAAGAAACATCTATATTTTCCGAATAAACCATCCTTACACATTGCAAGAAAAAACAGAGTAGCGAACAAGCTTGTTTGCGACGATTCTTCTACAGGATAGTACATCACAATTTATAACAAACTGTATAGGGGGAGAAATCATGACAAGTTGGAAAAGAAGTAAGCAATATTCCAGTTCCATGGTCGGATGTTGTTCACACTTTGGTCCTCACATGCGCATTGGTTCGGGTCATTAGGGGTGGGTGGGGAATGGCTGTGTCGTGTTTGGTGTTGGTCATAGAAGATCGAGTGTTCTTACGAACTGTTTTTGTGAGTACATCGGGCGGGGAGGGTATGTAGCGGATTCCGATCTCCTTCGTTGTTGCCAGAATGTGACTCCTAATCCTCTTAGGTCGACGGCTGCAAACAAAGTAGAGGGGTCGAAACGCCCCTAATGACCCGAACCAATGCGCATGTTTGAGGACCAAAGTGTGAGATTTATATTTCTCAAATTTCTTTTTTTAGTAATACAACTCTGAAAAGATCACGAGCCTCATTAAGATTTAAAACCACAGACAAATACAGTCTATTTCTCCCTAGCATGCACACTTTATCACGTCAGCCCTAGGGTCAGTGCCATAGTTCGTAGTTGATTGTAAGGATGACGTTCTATGACAGCCAAGATTTTTGCTGTTATATGTATGAAAATAGGAGGGTTTGGCGAGCAGGAGGGTGAGACGGATGTGAAAAGTACAGAGATATTGGCAGGGCTTATAAACTCTCTCTGTCTTTCACACACTGTTTTTCTTCAATTTGTCTTTTGAGTTGGTGAGGGGAATCGAAGTGATAGCGCAGGAACAGTTGGAAATTCATGGGCAGCTCAAGATCGCTAAAAGTTCGATAACTTGATGCTTTTCAGGTGTTTCCGCTTCTACTTACGTTCATCGGCGCAACAACAAGTGCTGTACAAAATTCCTAATTTTGTGGCGTTTTTCGACACTTGTAAACCTTTGGTTGACTTATGTAAACGTATCGTGGATACTGTGTGTACACAAACTCAAGTACGGTAATTCTTCCTGAGATACATTTAAAAGTTCACAGAGCGGTGACAAGTCGTATTGTTTGTAAAACAAACAAACACATAGTTTCCACCTCCTCAAGACTATCCCCTACACAGCATGGGTGAAACGAGAGCAATAATCAAATGCACACAAACGTTTACGTGGCCTCCATGCACATGTTCGAATCCCACCAAGGCACGTGGACTTTCTGAAACACACACTGTACAAAGCCCGAATGATGTTCATGAGGGGGCCGAAATATTTTCATTTCCCACCTCTCTCCTGGGGTGCATTCTATGACAATATTAACATCTGATCGTGTGACGTTTGACCGCTGTTAAAATAAATAATTCGTGTGAACGGCCAGAGATGAACGCGCTCTGTTTACCCTGTTTTCGAATGGTATTTTTCTCACGTTGGGATGGTCAACAACTGTGCAATAACGGGATAGGTTGAGGGTAGATGAAGCATGATAACAAAGTTAGCCAATTACAGGGTGCAGAAACACGTATGGGAACCAGTACCAACCGTTCGTGTAGTACAGCACTGTCGAAACATCACTGGTCACGTGAATGAACTGCACACATACGATTTGTCGTTCACCCAGCGTCCCATGCTGAACTTATTCTCTTGATAACAAGGAGTGAGACCGCGGTTTTTCTTCATCCGCACACTTTCGACATGTAAGAGTCGCAATCAGACCGATCGAAATCGATACTAAGGTTCCATCTCACACGTACCAATCAAGTTTAGTGCTGACTCGATTTCGTAAGTTTTGTTGTCCTACGTACAACGACATAGTTTGACAAACATAAGAAAACTGTGATGAAAATCACGGTTACATGGCCAAAGGGCAGTGCCACAAAAAAAACAATGAATTAATGCAGTTCAAATAAGCATTTCCATCATATTATGGACCCAAATGATAAGTTATTGTTTAATGATTGCGACTTCAAAAATCCCATTCGTAACATCAATTCGTTTAGAATTCCTATCATCCTAAATCATAATGTTTCGGCGGCCTGCCTACCGTGCGATTTTGTGATCGGAGTGCCGAGGATTTGAATCATGCCCACTCAGCACCCCCATCCACCCTTTTGATGTGAAGAAATGTGGGTCATTCAGCATCGCGCATTATGCTCAGCAGATACTAGGCCAGTCAGTCTTCATCTATTCAATTCCCACTGCTGCGTTCTGTTGTGAATGCGTCCTCTGTAAACAGATAGCCACCCACATTGGTTGAGCAATCAAGAGTGATCATTTCTTTCCTTCAAATGTGATTGTTTTCATTATGATGTTTAAAATTCTTTGGTCTGGCGGNACCCAGTGAGTCGTCTGGCTGAAGATCTAGTTCCAGACTGTGATATTCCGTCGTGTTCCGTGTCAATCGTTGATCATTGATTGAGAAAACTCGTGTTTACATCACGGATTCATTTGCATCTGAATCAACCTTGCGTCTTGCTTCCTCAGAATTTGAGCTTCGTGTGTCATTTTATTAGTGGACGTCAATACGGCACACGATATTATTGACGATTTCATCAGCAAATGAATGAAATACTAAGGAATGTTTCTGGCTATGCGTCTTATCGGGAAGAACTGGTTCAAAAAACCATCAGGAAGATCGATCCATACCCGACAACGTGATTGTTATAGACAGGATATTAAAGATGGTTTGACACTCTACTCGACCGACCGCAGTTTCATTGGTCCTTCCTCGCACGAGCCCAAGATATCCCTTTTTTCCCGTGCATCAATTATCTCGCGCCATCCCAAATGGGTAATTTGGCTCAGGTACCGTTTGATTTCGCCTAACGGAGTGAGCCAAAAGGAGTGGCTCATTTGTATTGTGCGCCTAAACCCAAGCATCTCAGTCCATGCCACATTCTCTTCACTCGTATCTAAAGGAGCGAGGAGCTGAACGCATGTGAACAACGATTCAGCATTGAGATTTCGTTGATCGGATTTATATAAACTGGAGGCTAAGACTGGTTCTGCCCCGGTGGTAACGTCACAAAATTATGACCCCTGAGGACGCGTGTTTCAATCTCACCACTGACTTTCTCCAATGTGTATCCCATGACAGCCCCTCCTTCTGGAAAGCTGTACTATTACGTATCCAATAAAAAAAGGAAAAATGAAAAAAGGTAAGTAGTATAAAAATGACTAGACAAACTTCCCTTCCATTCCAAGTATCTAACTGTCTGTTGGCTGATTTAATGATCGGTCTGGTCATGAACAACAGACTTTTCCTCATCAATCGACCACACCTCAAATCGTATCTGAACATAGTTGTGCGGTGCGATATCAGCAAACGCTTTGAGAAGTGAGGCAGCAGTGCAATTCGCCATTGTCAAACAGTTACCTACCTGTGGCTGTGCGACTAGTGCATGATCAGGTCAGCGTCGGATGGCCGATAATCTCAGGGGCATTCGTGATCCACTAGCTCTGGTGTATACAAACAGCTGGACAAGAAGGGTCGCAGCAGAGCAGTGTCGAAATCAAAGGTTTCCAGTGCACAAAAAATAACAGTATGTGAGCTACGTGGTAAAGCACCCCCGATTAAAATAATAAAAACACTCAGAAAATCTGAGGATTTAACGGTTCAGTAACCAAAGCATCTGATGTCGAACACCAAAGGTCATACTGTGTGTGCGAAAAGAATGAAGCGGCCACTCTAGTTGCTGTAATGTACACATGAGTGGCAGAAGATTTAATCCCCAAGACGTTCGACAAGATCTAATGTCAAAGAGACAAGAAAGTTAAAAATAACTAATTGAAGTACAAATGCGTTGAGGAAATATTTTACAACTTACTATCTTCGCCTTTTTTCTCCAAGACTGAAGTGGAAGAAAGAACAAAAAAAGTAGAATATTGAAATTAAGTTGACTTTAATTCAACACTAAATAAATCAACGAAAGTGCATGCAAAAGTAATCAGACAATACTATTCTACACATTTTAAACTATTCTCATGGGATTATGTTGAGCCTTGCTTATTATAAGCGTTTTTAGTTTAAAAGATTGTCATCAGGTGTAATAACCTGCCCCCTCCTTAAAATGGCATTTTCAATCGTGTTTAAACGATTTGACAGATGCTAACCTAAGCTAATCGGTTAACCATCTTCCTCATACAATGATTTATCGCGATAGATTTTGCCGAAATGATGTGTTATTCGAAATCCGTTTTCCGTGACCAATTCAATTCGCCCTCTGTCTCGATGCATCTGATCATGACAGTCGGGATTCTGAATTGCCTGACGCGAAATCACAACAATAAATTATCTTTAACGTTGGGTGCATGTTCCATTAGCGAAATTATTATTCCACGAACTGCCACGTACCAACAAAACCCCTTNCCCCCCCCCCCCCCGGGCTCACCTTTCTTGTACGCCTCGGACACAGCGTGCATCTCATCGTTCCACAGAGTGGTGAGCACCTCAATCAGGACGCGGTCGTTCGTTCCGAGGCCTTTCATGGCATAGTACAAGGCTTTGGCAAGCATATACGGAGTGTCGTGGACCAATTCACACAAGACCGTTTTGAACTGGCCGGAACAATCGTCTTTTAGAGCGGCCCGAAGAGGCTAGCGCGGATCACGTTTATGGAGCGACCGGGGGCAGGAAGGGAGAGAGGAGATTAGAGTATGCAATGAATAAACAATAAGCAGGATGAGTGGACGGGCTCCCGGGGGGGGGGGAAGGGGCGTGCTAAACAACTCCAACAATTGGTTTAGCGAGAGGTACGAGATGCCTTTACCGTGATGTCATAGTTCGGGAGGAATAACACACAGTTAGTATCGTTAGAAATGTTCCAAGGTATGTCACTGGGTAAGCGGGCCGCACGTTTTACGGATTTGAGTTGGAGAAGAGAAGAAAAAACTTATCAAACAGGACCTTAAAAAGGTTCAAATTCCTCTGAAGGATCTAATCCCTACTACACCTAAACTACAAAAGAAATATGAGCGAAATTCATTGGGATGACCACAAGGTAACCTCCACGTACTGCATCCAACCAAATAACTATATGGTCGAGTTCGTTGTGCACAGGAGCAAACGAAGCGTGAAGTGGGAAGCACCGGATAGCTAGTAGGTCTCATCAGCAGGGCGAATTCATCGACCTAAAGGAGGATCACCAACCCGGAACCTACAGGTAGAACGCAAACATACCCGTGCTCGATCAGCGGACAGCCAATCAGGCCACTTTCCACTTCGATCAAAACTTTTATGCAACGAGGTACGTACCAATGAACAGTACTGCTCGATATGTACAACAAGTGATGGGGGCAGCGAAAAAATGGTACCGTGAGAATAGTTTGCTGGACACATGAACGCAATATTACAGATCGAGTGATTTGGGTCGATAATCATATCACATGAAAGGTTCAATCTAATGGTGTGATATGCAGTGATGAAGCAGGTCCGCCCTGGAACGGACTGTTGATCAGCGGATGCATGATCTGTGGATTATTGATTTTAGCCGTCCAAACCTCGGTTATGAACCTCTGCTCATTTGGAGTGGGGGGGGGGGGNAGCAGAAAATTGATTTCATGATTTTCTCCTCCCTGTAATTCTGAAAGATTAGTGGTGTTTCACGCTTGTCCAGTAAGAACACCCAATAATGATTAAACCTTAAGTCAGTACAAGGTGGTGGTTGTGTAAATAACGATTAAGAGCATCGATTGGTCCACTCACAGCCTTGATAAGAACTCTACAACTTCAGGTGTAATTTCCCGAACAGATAACGGCAATTCAAACTGGAGAAGATCCCGTATCTTAGTTGGAGCATGTCCAAGCGATGATTTTCAGTTTGGTGTAGGGAAGTTCGTTACATTTGATCTTGATAAGTGTTTCGCTTGTATCATACACAATAAGACACAAACAAAGCAAATTTCATAATTCCACGAAAAGGCGTTCACGAGAAGTTTAAGGAAAAATCGATCTATGCCAAATGCATTTTTAGCATCATTGATGGACTAATCGAGGTGCGTGAACGTCACTTCCAGTTAACAGTCGGCAACGTGCAAAAGAACACGAGGGTGGGAAAATGAAAATTCACACACAGGCTAACAAAAGTGAATAATTGTGGTACTATTGTGAATAGTGTAATGAGATGAGTACTACTGACGACCTTGTCTGCTTGTTCCTCAAAAAGCAAGCATTCCACTCAAGCTCATTAGTAGTTCATATCGTTCCGGTCCATTCAGAGTTCGAACCTCCCCCCCCAGACTTTATTCAGTGATGACAAGAATTATCGGTTTAAACTGGGTCAGGTGTAGCCTTTATTAACAGTCAATCATTCTACCCGCTCGAATACCTTAATCAAGTCTCCCTCTCATTTATGCCCTCTATAGGGAGCTGATTGTGTTTTCGAATAAATCTGACGGGCCAAATTTTCGAATATGCATTTCTGCTCATTGTTAGTTTACAATTTCACTTGATTCCACCAGTATTCCACGAGTAGACAGTGAAGGATCGGGTAATAGCTTGAGGACAGAAAAACGAAGCGTTCCCACTGGACAATGCCTCAGTAGAGATGTTTATTTGATACATAAATCACCATCAGATTAACGGAACTGTGATGGAGTTGAAGTGGTCAATTTACGCGTAGATTTTGAAAAGCGAACGCTGTGGCTGTCACCCGAAGCTGTATAGCATAAACCATTCATTTTGAAATGCATTTGCATCGACACAGCAATCCCCTCGAGTTTGATCTCGGTTTGGTCATCTTAATCAGTGGTGAAAAAGGGAAGCCATGGATGGCACGGTACAACTCTATCGTACAGCAATCAGTAGTGCTCACTAATTCACTGTTCGAGGGTGGATTCGGGAACTGAAAACAACATTCGGCAGGTATCTTTTTATTAAAGATGCACCAAGAACTATCAATGAGGTCTGTAAATAGACAGGATCATTCACGTTTACTGATCAACACTGCCCCATTGGATGTCTCCCGGTGTTTAGGTATATGCACGAGACCCCCGTGATCGAAAGAGGCTGAGAACGTATTGCTCACAGTGACGGGAGTGAAAAATACTTTCATCCCAATCCGATTTCAATTAAACACCACATTGCTGTCAGTCTAAAACACCATGGTAATTTACATCCACTTGAAATGTGATCTAATGCGTGTTTTCTCCGGATTACAATCAATTCGAGAGCACCGCTCCTCACGCCCGAACATGTGTGTGTGTGTGCATGTTCACCCAGTCTATCTACCAAGGCTCACGTCCATATGGAATCTCAGAAACATGCGCAAATGACATGAGGACGTTTTCGTTGAAAATAAAGTGATCCAACAGTACATCGATTTAATTGACCTAGTCTCCAGACAGGCCGGGGAGGTCAGTGAGCACATGTTTCCCGCTTCGAACAGATACCGTCTTACAAGCAAGGTAAGTGCTTTATATTGCCATTGTGGGAATAAAACATTTGAGGCTCGCTGACAATTTGGATAAGACAAAGCAATAATTGACTCCGATGAAAACGAGATTGTAATAGAAGAGAGAAAAATGGTCTGAAATAATTTGTCTATTTCGGTTCAATAGTCTTTTACTATGATCTTCATAACTGAGAGTAGAAAGTAGAGTAGTGCTTCGTTTGATTGCACATCGAGCACGTGAAAATTCAAGGTCATTTGTCATCACGTGATTACGACTAAATTATCGGGTCATTTGGGCACAAATCTCTCAACTACTGGAAACATTGATAAGATTTTAATCTGTCCCGAAAACTTGAAACCGATATGAATAAATCACGGAGTATTCCGAATGCACTGCAGTGGTAATAAGGACCGTTAGGTGACCGAAGCGAAAGATATAATAACGCGTTTCTTAGAGAACCATGCTACAGAGAACATTTGACCAAACCAGTTAACATAAACCACCCGTTGGATCCGAAAATGCACGAACCGATCTTTCGTGCACACTGTCGTCAGTGAAGCAAGTTTTAGACAAAGCCAAAGAATGAGCTTCAATCTGAACAACTTGATAAATTTGCAATCCTGGACTGATTGTATCCAGTCTGCAAGTGCTCGATATAGAGACAGTACCAGCGGAAATCATTTCAAAGGCTCTTAGTTTCCAACTGAGTCAGGACAGCTATTGATTGCGAGATTATACGACGACAAAGTTACCCTTCCGCCCCATAGAATGCTATGTTTACCATTTACGTAGTAGAAGGGACAAATGACAATTCAAATGTCAACCCCCGGGGTGAGTGAAAAAAATATTTTGTTGCATTACTGCGCAAAATTGGTTCTCCTACCTTTTGATACAGACTTTCATAAGCCTGACAAATTTCCTGACGTTCATGATTGGTGCGTCTGGCTAGGACATTGATCAGTGTTTCCTCGTCCGTACCTAAGGCACGAAGGATGAAACAGTGTCTTTAAACAAAAAAAAGAACAGTAACTGAGGCAACGAATACAAAATTACCACAAACATCTAAGGATATGATAACGCGGTATTTGGTTAGTTGACATGCGGTGCCCAATTGTTCACTTCTGGGACGTATTAACAACCTGTGATCGGTGAGTAAAGACTGATTCTCACTTACAACAGCTGCACACAACCCAGAAATTAAAATTTTCCTCACATTCTATGTTTATTCGAATGTGGGAAACGTTTGGAAATCCGTTTTAATGTATTTCCAACACGGAAAGTTTCAAATCTTCAGTGGAATTCAAATCTGTACATGGAATCCACTCTGCTTCATGCGGGTGTACGCTGTGCCAGCTAAATTAAATGATGATGTGGTAGAAGCCATGGCAATCGACCAATAACCTCTCATTATTTGATGACGAAAAGAGTTGTTTGTCACCTGGGTTTCGATGTTTACCGGTTATTTCAATTGGAACACATAAATACACATTTTTCCGTAGATAACACTAGTGAAACGACTCCGAATACAAATCGTGTAACCTCACAATTATTTGATCACTGTTCAAATTTATCATTAGGAAAGGAATGTTGCAGCTTATGAATCACTTGGGCACAGTGGATTTTCAAATTGGGATCACAGCTCCCGCAGGAATGAGGACGGCTATGATTAGGTGATGTAGCTAGCCTAGTTCATCACTGCCGCCTTACTTCTTCAGCCGTTCAGTATATGTTCAGTTCAATTTTTACAACCAATAACCATGCGCTTTCGTGCGCCGGTTTTGGTTGCTATCTTTTGGCCGCCCACTTGGATAAAAGAGCGGATTTAAGATTGGAAGGCTGAGAACAGAGTCAAAGGTAAGATAGAGAATTCATATAGATTGCGGTTTTAGTTTGACTGCCCTTGGTCTTTTTCCATTTACTGCCTGCCTTGATAAACATCGCTCGCCGTGGCAACCTATCTGGTGAGTTGTGCAGCACGTCCCAACCAGCTCAGTTCATGGAGGTTGACCATTTGATCCAGTGGGCGATCGGGGTCACCCAAAGATCTACGCCTAACCTCGGCATTGGGTGGTGATGTCCGAGCGGTAGGGCTATCCAGTATCGGTCTAACTGAATTTGGATGACAGCTTACCATTTGATTCAAACGGTTCATATAAGTACAAAGAGACAAGAACTATGATCACCGGGCGTGTGCACTAGCCAGAAACTTACCAGCTCCTTTCATTGCCCGATGCAAGCGTTCCGCATCAGCCGTTGCTGAGAATCCTGGAGTCGGTTGGATTGTGGGCTTTAGCAGATGGCCAGAACCATCCAATCGGTGAAACCAGGATCGCTCGAACCCGAATCTATCGGCAAGAGGAGGAGCGATGCAATCCCATGCTTAGGTCACTGAGGTGAATGTTTGAGAGATAACGTTTCTTTCAACTAGTGACATGCAATTCAGAGTGCAGATTTCCTCAGACTTAAATGAAACTTAATGAAATGTGCTCATCATGTGTGCAAAATTGTTCTCAGTTCGACGTATTATGGGTTTCCTCGTCATCGGTATCTTAGTTGCTTAGGAACTAACGATATTTAAGCTCAGATCTATTGCTATCTCAGTGTGCATTTGACTGTGTTGACGGGAGACTGTCAAATCTGAAGGTTAAATAAAATCAATAGCAATTATCGCAAATCGTTACTCGCAAACATTTGAGAATTAGAAATAAAGAATAACCATATGAAATGAATTAAACTAATGACTCCATCTTGACTATCATTAATGAATTTAAGTAATGCAATCCGAAGCACAAAAGTAAGTTTTCTAAATGGGAACCATGCTACTTTCGACAGTAGCCCAACTATACGTATATTCATGACAATAGTAGTTACAATGTTTTAATAGACTAGGAAAGACCTTACTGATCTCTCCTGGAAACCAAGGCATGGTTAACCAATAGAGGGAGCAAAGAAGAGAAGAAAAAATACATTGACGCTAAAACCATTTTTCATCCGAATCACATTAATCGATTTCAAGATAATAGCGGATAGAATGGAAAGTGAAAGCTCGCCAAGGACTACACTTTTGAAACCAAGTTTTAGTTTGGCCCGGTGATGAACGCAACCGAGCACTGTCAACTACGGAATTCCGCTTTCCGTAGACAGAGTAACCATATTCACTCTCCGAACGGTGACTCACTTGAATTCTCTATTAATCCCAGGACAATCACAATTAAAGAACTTGATGAAGTAAATCACAACCAATTCCTACGGATCATAAACATGTCCCGAGCAAGGCTTCGTCCGAGTACGAGGATTCACTGTTCAACTCTTCGAAAGTCATTCGAATTACGTCAGAAACAATAAGAAATTATAATTGTTCTTTGGACTGTATTTGACTTTAGCAACAGACTTGACCAAACCCATACGGCCCCCTGTCCTATGAAGGAGGATGGATCACAATGAGGCTACTGTTAAATCACATGATCAGGCACGTGATGCGCCCCATATGCGCATCGGCTTGGGTGCCGTGACCCAACTAAGGGACACGAGAACGAATACTGTAGACCAGTCGGTAGACCCCAAGCTGAACATTTACCAGATGAGACAAACTTTGTCTATTCGCCTGCATCCCGTGCGGATAGGTTTTGACGATTGTGCTATCGTTTTCGCGCAGCCAAACGCGAAACAGAAACTCACCAATGTATCTGGAATAGAAAGGGCACACATGAGTATTGGCCACTTGCGTTCATTGTTGTGCTAGTGGTCCAACCAGGCACGACACAAAATAAACCGGTCTCGATCACATGATGGGCCCTGGATAAACATAATCACGAACAAATTCCACACTATGCATTCAATACAATACATTCATGTTTTATTGAACATAGCTGTTTTTGCAGCTAACTATTGATTTTTCATGTGCGTGTCTAAGTCAAACATTGCGTATCCTGTCAAGTTGCTTTGGTTTGGGAAACCTCGCCGTGCTGCGCCCACGAACAAGCTATGCACTGTTTGTTTGTTTGTTATTTCATGCACTGAAAAATCCGACGAGTGTAAAACCCAACTTTAGCATAGACATATATGAGAACACAACAACAAATGAGAAGAAAATTAGATTTTGGTAGGACATCTTTAATTCTTTTAATCTTTCTTCTGTCCACATACATACACTGACAATGTAGGTTGAGCGAGAAGGAACGAACGAAAAATTCAGCTGAGCTGATCCGGACACGGGACCAGTCACTATAGTCAATCCCATAAGGAAGAAGTTGCCACAGGTGTTAGTCCTACCGTGGCAGATCATGACTGAACACAAAGATCACACTGACAGAACCGAATGGCTTCAGCAAGCGGAATGAAATTTAAATGGTGCGGTTTATTGGTCAATTTGAATGATGTTCAAGGGTTCTAAATAGATCAATAGCACCGACCAAACCATCTTTCCCTTCGGCACAGTCGGTTTAATTTTCAATGTCATATGAGGTAGATTATGGGTGTCCTACAAAAAGCTTCATTTTCACCTAAAATGAGACGATTTACATATATTTCCCCCACTTATATCATTTTTATAAAAGTGATTCCTGATGCACCATCAGCTCAACTGATCCCTGATGTGCCAGTCCTCCGGAAACTCAGGGCTTTTAAGCCAAATAGCAGAGATTTTCCTGACCGGCGCGTAAAATACCTATAAACAGATGAGTGTATACTACAAAACGCCTTCGAACTGAGTCAAATACGCATCATCTTTGGCTTCCGTTGCGTCTCGGGATCGTATTTCTCTGAGTGACTCGGTGATCGGGCTCGATTTGTATCACATGTTATGGGTACTCGTTGGTAAGTTCAAAGGACTGGGTCATGGCTACTGTTTGTTCCGTTTGTCACAACAGGCGGACACCAAATTAGTTCACAACGAGGGAATAGATAAACGACGGTCTGAGTGAAGAAGCTTTACAACTTCACATTTACGGAAAATTGCACGAAAAACGTTTGTCTCTCTCTCTTTCTCCTACAAGCTGCAGAAATCCTAACAAGCATGAAGGTACCATCAACGGTTCATACGATGAACTCTGGGGAGAATTAGGATGGCCCCATGTATAACTATAAACGGGTTCCAAAAGATCTGATTGGTGGAGAAGTTTTCTATGAAAGCTCAAGTATAGTACGTGGTATCTTTCTTTGTTGGTTTTTGGTGTGGGGAAGTAGATTAAGGGTTTGACTTTCAATAGGAACGCGAATGTACACGGATAAAACAGTTGTCCAGTGTTGTTCAATGCTCAGTAACACATTACGCTGTTAATGTATTACCCAGTCAATCGAACCAATCTAACTAATTCAAATTGTTGTTTGGCAAATTTGAAGTTTGTATGGCGACTGTGAAAAGTTCAGTACCCTCGGTGCACGCTCAGCGTTATCGATATGGCCTCGGCAGCATACTCCACATAAGAAGCTTCGGATAGATAGAACATCCGAAAGTAACTAGATAGTTCGAGAAGAAGTGTTTAGTCCGTTAGAGAGTCTCGGACTCATCATAACGTCAGTGTTACTAATCGTCTATATCACACGATCAAATCCAGTTTTGATCAAAGTGGAGATAAGCAGCACAATGGAAAACTGGTGATCCACATGGTACACCCACTCATCCTGCCAAGTAAGTCTAATTTCACACGCAGAAACAGAACACTGCCAGCGGGGCATGCCGTGACTAAAATTAGATTAAGTTAGAAACAAGCGGATTTACAGGCTGATAAAAAGAAATGTGTGGAAATAATCTAGGTAACTGTTAGACCGGCGGGGGGGGGATCAAACGAGCTGAGTTTTGGGTGGTGTAACGTACTTTGAAGCGGATGCCATTGCGCGTGACCGTACCGAGAGAGATCGCTGGAAGTCAGTGAAAAATGAAACAAATGATTACCATTTAAAAACAAATGGATGCACGGAGATAAAGGACAATGGAAGTCGTTTTGATTTGCTTGTATTATTTATTCTTTTGTGTAGATAAGTCTTGTTCTCTGGAATACCCGATGAGCCACAGGCCTCAACTTACGCAGCAAGCAAAGCAGAAAAACGACCCATTAAGCATTGAGTACAAACAACTGAACTTCCATGCACCATATTTATTTTGTGCGTTGTATGCAGGCTGTTTTAATGATATTGGTCACGTGGAACATGTTACCATTGGTCGTGAGTTCGAGCATCTCTAGAGATCGGTCATTTTGTGGCGATTGAGTTGTCAAGTTGTCTAGTGGGCACGACAAATCTATATTTTTAATAGTATCCGAATACTTTCAACACTGGAAACGCCATTCAAATGTTTCATATTTTGATGAGCTAACTAAAGAGCCTGTGAGGGCTCCAATCCGGAAACGATCAGTGGCTAGATTTGCAAGTAACAGCAAAGTCATCCGGAATGACCTCACCGATGAGATTTGCATTATAAATACAAGTTCTAGCGAATTCTGGTACCAAGCAGGATATAAACCATCTGCCTATGCTTCCAGACAGTTCGCCTGTGAAGTTTGACTGACAAGATGAATTAACATGACATGTTAATAAGGCAAACACAATGCGGAGATAGTGTGAAATCATAATGGCGAAAATCGTCATTTTTCTCCAAAGATTTCATTTGATTAAGCTTAGATGCATAACAGTATCTTCTGGGTGGTTGATCGTTAGATCATCATGTGTTTTACTGGGAAACGTAAAATAAGCGTTTCCCAAATTGTACTCAAAGAAAAACACAATATTATCACCTCACATCACACTTTATGAGATCTAGATAGTAAGTACAACCTACCTGTTCTCTGTTCACGGATAGAATTTCAGATAAGTGTGATCTGCTGGCAACTAAGTACACTGAAGCAATGATTCCGCTTACTGCCAGTTAAGCACCATAAAACAATAATAATTGGCACTATTTCCCTTTCGGTACCTCTGAAAGCCTCATTATGGTCGGGGGCGGTTGTCTGGGGTTGTGGCAGGTCACTTCTCCCTTACAGCTCTCGAAGTGCTCCCATGAACCACGCTTTTGCTGAGGAAGCCCCACTCGCTACTTTAATGCGGCGGTATTTTCCAATCAAAGTGAGAGGACGAAAAGACAACATCTGGGGCTATTACCTAGTCGGTGAACCACTGGCAGTTCACCTGGGGGAGTTGGCTACAAGCCCCGATGCCGAACCAACCAAGGCCAGTCGTGGGAACCACGCACACCTTCCTGGNNNGGCAGTGGTCACCGGCTCGATTTGGTAGCGAGGTTTATTGAGCGCCTTGGGTGCTTGACCCCGTCCAAAGGATATGTGATGCAATCAGCTAGACACCAATAGATTGCAGTTTTGACACATCGCCCCGCTGGTTTTGGGGATTAGGCTTTGGTTAGCTGAAAGCTCCCTACCAAAATTCACCTACATTGGTCTGGGCAACATAGCAGTATCGTGCCGTCGAGAAAATCATGAACCTTTTTTTACTTTTTACAAATATTATTGCACCGTGATTTGTTTGGCACAAAGCCTGAACTCAGGTGTATGAAAATAAATAAAATTTACCTTTCGGGCGTAATCTTCATCACTCGTTAAAATGACATATTGGAATATGACCAGCCATCGCACACCTATTCTTGTAGACTAGACATCTGCCTTCCCATGAACCAATCATTCGTTTGCATTCCAAGCGATCCACAATTTAGAGAAAGAGAGGAAGAGGAGGTTATGCAAAAACAGATCCACACACGCGTACACGCACGCAGAAGTCAAATCAACTAGCTATGACAAAGGTAATCCAATATGGCCCGGGATTAGCACTTGGAGGGTACCCATTGAAAACCATCGGATTTCGATTACGGCAAAACAGATGTCAATAGGCCGAATGCAACCTTTCGCGTGAAAAGAGGACTGAGGGGCTGGTTTAGGTGGGGAATGATAGAGTAGTTGGCCAATAGGACAATGAAGCTGTCTTAGCATCGTCATTCGATTAGAAAATATTTATGATGAGGAAGTTCTTGTGTACGTTCGCCGATTTCCACTCCGAATCATCCTCAAATCTAGCAGGTGGAGCCCAAAGCTGAACAGAAAAACGAGAACCAAATGGTGCTTACTGAGAGTGCCTCAACTTGACAGTAGTTTATCTCAGTTTTTGACTGACCGATGGCTTCAAACACGGAAAGAGAATAAAATCAATGACTTTCGAAGAATACGCGACGCCAAACAGGGTCACTTGCAATCTTCCATCAATAATCCACCGTAGGCGAGCTTATGCGCCATCTTGCGTTCTTAGTAAATGTTCTGTTGAATTATTCGAAATAGTTTATGCTCATTTCACCTTCTCATATCATTTGTAACAAGACCACCACTACTCATTTCAAAACAGCCTTTCTTTTTTCATCGCCCTATTTGAAAATACACCACTTGCAATAAGCTGAAAGTCGATCACAAGCTGGAATATGGGCGTTGCAATCCAGTTCAGGTATTGGTGATCTATAAGTTCTTGTCTTCTGCGAACCGAATTTCGCTGCTGGATTTCAATCCAATTAAAAAGCCAATCCATTGTGATGTTGATCTCTGCAGAGGCAAAGTCACATACCATACTGAAAGCGAATTTTACTACTCATCCACACACACTTCCGGCTCCTTCAAAATAAGTGATTTGAACCGAAACGATCTCTCTCGATTAAAGCAACCTCAACAAGGATGAGCATCCTGGACACAAATTTTGTGGCCTAACGCGCGTGAAACGATGCGTCCAAATGCCCAGTTGTAGTGACAGTCAAGCATGAACCTGAGATGTGATTGAGCAGTGGCAGTACCATGCGCATGGTACCCGTAACTCGTAACTCCATGAAGAGTCATCAACATAGCATTGTGTCAGCCTCATTTGGGAATTCCGTTCAAAGTAAGAAATAGGAAAAATGAAAATAGATGGGGTGTAATCTAATATCCTACCAGGTTCTAGTCACCTACTGAGTAGACGTGTCCCCAGAGGGTGTCCAACTTGGAAATCGTGTTCTTCGGATCAATCTTCCGGGTCCGGACTTTTCTACTCATATACTACCTCGTGAAACAGTTGCCCTCGCTCGTAGCAAATCGTGATCCGTATCCATAGGTGTGGATCAGTAAGAACGGTAGTCTTAAATGGACCCTCTCCAGCGGTAACTGATGGTGATGTGGTCGCTCTGGGTCCAGCGCAGTGAAGAGATTGGTGGTTTCCATCTAAGGCGGCGTCGTTTCTCGTGTGAGAAGTTCGTGTTAGACGGAAACAATCCGTGGTCCGTGCATAGTTGAAGTAGGCGATCTCCGTTGTCCGTCCGGTTGGCTGGGATTGCATACGGTCCGCCAAGAAGCCTTTCTGATTCGTCCAGGGATCCCACTTGAGGATTGAAGTCTCCAGCGACTACCACGATGTCCGTTGATCGAGCACTTTGGAGTAGTTGGTAGAAATCCTTGTAGAATTCATCCTTCATTTCAGGTGCACTGCAATCGGTCGTTGCATACACCAATACGACGAATAAGCACCGACGCTTCGTTCTGTAGTTGTTGACCCGTGCTGAGTCGTTGAGACGTACAGCGCATAGTCGGCTACTGACTGGAATTCAGTCAAGAAGCGAGCGCTCAGCCTTGGCACTTAGTGCAATCCCGACACAAGCAAAAATGCGAGCTTCGAATACCGAATAGTCTGACAAACGGAGGGTGAAGCGTGGGGTCGAGGTTGGGTTAGGAGAAATGATTGAAGCAGGGTCTTGTTTGCGTGTTTCGGAGAAACAGCAAACATCTAAATGGAAAGTTTCAAGGGTTCTAGCCAAGGCAGCTTGCTGACCAATCTGATAGAATGTGCGGACATTGAACGCGGCTAAGTGAAAAGGAAATTTTGGCTTCAAAAATCCTGTGACTTCTGATTATTTGGTCTTGATGATAAAATGCTGAGTGATATTCGATGGGTGGCGTAAACAGGAGGTATCTGGGATTGTTCAGGATTGAGAGGAATAACCAAATAGATCGGAAAGAGGTTTTTCCAAATGGGTGCCTAAGACTTTAGGGTACTGCATACTTCGCGGTTGCCCACACCGATGAAGGGGTTTTTCTTTGGGAACCCTAACCGTTGTCCTGACTTCCTTAAACTCCTATTCATAATCAGTTTAAAGGTAAATTCCATATTAAGTGGGCAAATACGATGTATGACCAGGATGTATCTTTTTAGACGAATCTTTGGTTGGTTGTGCCTCAGACAAAAGTGGTCAACAATAACGAGTTTAAAAAATGTAGTCATGGGAGTGAAATTTTTGAAAATTGTTGGGGTAAATCTGATCCTGATAGTGCACCCAATTTGCAGGATTAACGTCGTCATGTGAGTACCATGGAAGAAAATCAGTGGCGCACTAAGTAAAATAACATCATCATGCGATATTCAGCGGAGTTTCTAAATCAACTTGACTTGTAAACTTCAGGCAGTTGAAAGTACACACGTGATCGAAAAGGTAGCTGTTGAGTGGTAAATCAGTTCAACCGATAGTTGATATGATAAATAGAATGGTGTTGTGTGATTGCCAAAACACATCACTGTACAGCTGTTTTTAGTGCTGCATGCAGCTTACTGCTGATCTTTGTGAAGGACAGAACAAAGGATAATCGGCATTTGAAATGAAGCTTAAACATCGTCTCCCAGTTTAGTCACTCGCCGGCCGAACTCAACACACATTTTATGCGGATTGACGAAGCAGGTCAAAATAACAAGAAACTCCGGCACACGATTGACGCACAAGCGATGGCTTTCCTCTATATATGTACTGCACAGAACAATCCCCTGGATGACAAATATGGCATCACACATAAAGCCGTTGAATGCCAGCTCATAAAGAGAGCTCGGGG